CTAAATTTCATAGCATATCACATCACGTACTTGTTGAACTGACTCATCCACAAAGTTTCAAACATGTGGGCATTTAATTAAAGCTTTTGACTGATGATTTCAACAGATAAAAATGGGGAAGATTCAGTGCCATGTAAACTTTGTAAGAGCATCATCATCCGGTTAGCAGAGGTTACAGACTAGACCAGTTCAAGCCGGCCCACATAGGAGGCGGTCAAAAACCAAAGACTCTCCAAATGTTTAGCAGAATTTATCCAAGCGGCTGGTATTTCAGAAACTTCAAGAAGCTCAAGAAATGACCTAGTTATGTCTTCAATATTTAAATCATTCCTTACCCCCAAATAATTTTTGAGTCAAAAACATTGCTTTTCAAAAGGAACTTTTCTGCTAAAAACGTCAATTAAGACACCATGAACGTGAAGTAAACACTTTCCCCTTATTTACAGATTAAGAAGCACATCTAGCTGGGCGTGGTGGCTCACGCCTGTACTCAGCACTTTGGGAGGCTGAGGCGGGTGGACCATGAGGTCAGGAGTTTGAGACCAGCCTGACCAATATGGTGAAACCCTGTTTCTACTAAAAATGCAAAAATTAGCTGGGCATGGTGGCATGTGCCTGTAATCCCAGCACTTTGGGAGGCCAAGGTGGGCGGACCATGAGGTCAGGAGTTTGAGACCAGCCTGGCCAACATGGTGAAACCCCGTCTCTACTAAAAATACAAAAATGAGCCGGGTATGGTGGTGTGCGCCTGTAATCCCAGCTACTCAGGAGGCTGAGGCAGGAGAATCGCTTGAACCCAGGAGGCGGAGGTTGCAGTGACCCGAGATCACACCACTACACTATACCCTGGGTGACATAGGAAGACTCTGTCTCAAAAAAAAAATAAAGAAGCAAAAAGCAATCTAGGCTGGGCATAGTAGCTCATGCCTATAATCTCAGCATTTTGGGAGGCCGAGGCAGGAGGATCACTTCAGGCCAGGAGTTCAAGACCAGCCTGGGCAACACAGCAAGAACCCATCTCTACCAAAACTAAAAAATAAAAAATAGCTGTGTGTGGTGGCGCATGCCTGTAGTCCCAGCTACTTCGGAGGCTGAGGTGGGAGAATCACTTGGGCCCAGGAGTTCAAGGTTACCGTGAACAATGATTGCACTCCAGCCTGAGCAACAGGGCAGGACCCTGTCCCTAAAATAATAATAATAATAAATATAAATTAAAAAGCAGCACATCAGTTCTGGTTAAACACAATCAAGATTAAATTTATAAAAGGAAAACCTCCTTTTGTACATGTTGCCACTCCCTTCTGAGTGTTCTTCAGAAGCTTAGGAAGCAAGTGCTGAAAGCAAACTTCTCTTCTGTTCCAGGGAAGAGGGGAACGTGGGGCCTCTTGACCTATAAAACTCAGTATGTTGGAACATCCATAATTCCACCAAGTCTGCGCCAGTCAAACAGACTCCTTTTAGCAAACCAGCCAGCCAGGGCTGGAGACCAAGGCGTTCATCCCTAGGAGCTGACAAGGACAGGACCCAAGAGCTCCTTGGAAAAAAAAAAAAAAGCTTCTACTTCAGTATGCATTACAAACTGCTGGAAAAGACAGATGGGGGCATGACAGGAAAAGCAATTATTTCTTCTGGGCTTCCTTTCTGTCTGGATTCTAAGGAGACGAATACAAAATTCCATCACAGATTGAAATGCTATCTAAACATTCTTGGAAATGTGGTCCTGCTCTCTGAAATACGACCTGCTCTGCCGCGGCAGCCTACAACCCATCAACACGGGACGGGGGAGAACGCGACATTCCGCCGACTGTCTAATTCGGGTCTGACTCTGCAATACTGCTAGCTTGTAAGAGTCCAGAACCACAGGATGAAACGTAAATAACTAAAAGATATACATCTATTATACACAGCATGACCCAACAAAAGATGCTGATGAATCACTCGCTACTTTCACATTCTTGAAATTTTAAACATCTATGACTCCTGTATTTTAAGACTTCTAGTGAGCCATTCTAAATGTAAGCTCAACCACACTGAACAAGTAGTGTGACTATTCCCAACAGTAGCAAGTGGGGACTCTTCACGCACAAAGCCAGTTTTAAATCACTTTTAAGGAACACCCACTTGCTCATCAAAATGTTTTTATGATAAAACGTTTTTGTTTATTTATAATTAATAAACAATCTTAGACAAAATATCCAATATACTTGCATAAAATGTTGGGGGGGGGGTTGCTGTTGTTTTTGGAGATGGGTTCTCACTCTGCCACCCGGGCTGGAGTGCAGCGGCACCATTACAGCTCACTGAAGCTTGTACCACCATATCCAGCTAATTCTTTTACCTTTCTGCGGAGACGAGTATTGCTATGTTGCCCAGGCTGGTCTCAAACTCCTGGCCTCAAGTCATCCTCCTGCCTAGGCATCCCGAAGTGTTGGGATTACAAGCAAGAGCCATTGTGCCCAGCTCAGCTGAATAAAATGTTATTGCACGTAGCCTATGTGTAGTGAAATACGAAGATGACAAAGACACAGTTCTTACCTTCCAGGAGCTTATAAACATCGAAGGGATGAGATTTGTTCTCTAGTAAGTCAAGGGAGACCCCAAAAGCCAAATGAAAAGTACAAGAATAGGGCTGTGGGATTTATGGAGAAAGGATATCAAGTGACACTAGAATCTATTTTCTCCTCTGTAAAATGAGGGGAGTGGCCCAGATGAGTTTTAAATCCTTTCTAATTCAAAATTCTGATTCCTGAATGTATTCAGATGAAGTCGACAGAAAACGTCGTCAAGAAACTAATATCCGAGCTGGCCCTTGGACGGGTAAGATTGGGAAATGCAGCTGCTGAGAGAGATAGGAGGAAAAGCATTTCAGGCACAACAGAGTCTCTAAGCACAGGCCTGGAAAGCACAGGCCTGCTCGTGGAGCACAAAGTCTTCGGTGCAGACAGAATACAACGGGAGGCAAAACTGGAAACGGAGACCAGAATTTTGAATGCCAAGCAAAGGAATTTGAATTTTTTTCTTTCTTTCTTTTTTTATTATTATTACTTTTTTTAAACAGGGTCTCACTCTGTTTCCCAGGCCGGAGTGCGGTGGTGTGATCATGGCTCATTGCAGCCTCGAACTCCCTGGCTCAGCTGATCTTCCTGTCTCGGCCTCCTCAGTAGCTGGCTACAGGCACAGGCCACCATCATGCCCAGCTAATTTTGTACTTTTTGTAGAGACGGGGTTTTGTCATGTTGCCCAGGATGGCCTTGAACTCCTAGGCTCAAGTGATCTCCCCGCCTCTGCCTCCCAAAGTGTGGGGACTGCAGGTGTGGGCCACCATGCCTGGCCTTGGATTTCATTTGGTGGCCAGAGCTAACGCGGTGTCTGAAGAGGCAGACACTACGACCAAACACAGACTAGGACAGCTAAGCAGCAGAGTGCAGCTGAAGGGCTTGAGGCCACCCGGTCCCTCTGCAGGACCCCTCTGCAGGTCCCATTTACACAGGCCTCATCTGCCGAAGAAACCATGCTTCATGTAATACAGAAAAGACGAGGGAACAAGACCTCGACAGACAAGATGAGGGAACGAGGACTGAAAACCATGCAAGAGTCCAGAAAACAGGAACACTTCTAGGAACCCAATGTGTCTACACACAAATTCTGAAGGTGACAAGAAGGCCAACTACTCACAAACAGGCCAAAGGAAACTGGCTATCACATGGAAAGTGACTATGAAGTGGAAAAAAAAGTGATATAATGTAGCAAAAACAGACAGATGCAAAAACTACAGATGTAAGAGAAAGAGACTCCTAACATCTGTAAACGACTAGCAGAGGAAACAGAATTATCGGAGATCTGGAAATCTCAGCACAGGACTATCCTCCTCCCACTCCAAATCTGGGCAGCAGGATGGACATTTGTAGAAATTAGCTGTCCTAAAAAATGTCCAAGAGGAGAAAGCACAGCACTGAAGTGACTGCAAAGGTGCAGTCCTGACCTGAGTTAGTGCTGAGAAGGGAGGACAGGATGTCCTCCCTTAGGCGAGAGAGGACGGCTAGAAAGGCACGCTCAGCACTTCCATTCAGACAGCCGTTCTGAAATACAACGCCTCAACGGAAGAACAGAATCGAATGAAAAGGGAAATGGTTCACAGGTAGCATCTGGCCCCTCAAGTATTAAAGAGTATCTCCCCCCACACACACTTTTCCCTATTCCCTCCAACAGCCTCCTCAACCAGATCCAATAGACTTCCAAAACTTTTTTTTTTTTTTTGAGACAGTCTCACCCCTGTCGTCCGGGCTGGAGTGCAGTGGTGCGATCTCGGCTCACTGCCACCTCTGGCTCCCGGGTTCAAGTGACTCATGCCCCAGCCTCCTGAGTAGCCCGGATTAGAGGAGCGCACCACCACACCCAGCTAATTTTTGTATTTTTAGTAGAGACAGGGTTTCGCCATGTTGGCCAGGCTGATCTCAAACTCCTGGCCTCAAGTGATCCACCTGCCTCAGCCTCCCAAAGTGCTGGGATTACAGGAGTGAGCCACTGTGCCCAACCAACTTGTAAAATTTTTAAATGAATCTTGAGCTACCTGCCTTCTGGCAAAGTGAGGTGCGAGGAAATCATAACTATGTCAGGTTACTATCTTTTGCAGTTCCAAGAGTAATATCAAAACCCCAACAACTTAGCTGACCAATGCAGCAACCTCCTTTAGCCACAGCCCACAAAATAAAAGAGGGCACAAGAGATACCCAACACTAAGGAGAAAGACAAGGAAGCTCCCGTGTTCTCGTCTGGCCTCGAGTGAGCGGTGCCACAGTACACAGGCCTGGTCCAAGGGACACTGAGTGACAGCACGTGGCTGCTCTGGGCGCCTGCCCTGCCCTGTCCTGCCATGTATGAAACGGATCAACTGGAAAGTGCTCTGCGGGAATTGCGAGAAGGCACGTCGATGTTTTGGTCATCTGGTTGTCGGGAGAAACTGGGGGAGCACAGGTAATAGGAAGGAATAAGTTACTTACTTGCCGTCCATCCTGCCCCACGTTCGTCTGGCCTCTTACAACAGTTCGAATATTGTCATCCAGTCTCCTAGCAAAACAGTTCAAGGATACAGTCATTCAAATACTCTTTATTCTAGGCTGGCCAAAGGAAAAAAATAAAAGAGTAATGTATCCATCAACTTCTGCAGACTGCACCTAAACGTCCCAAAAACCAAACATGTGTGAGTGACATCAGGAAGGAGGAGGGCAGCCACAGCCGTGTGGGAGGCCAAGCCCAGCGCAGACTGACGCATCGCCTTGTTGTTAGAAATGGCTATTTTCACTTCACAGTCAGAGCTGTCTGAAAAGACTAATAAAACTTGCAGGATTTTTCATGGCGTAAATCAGGAATGACAAAGTTCCTAAACCTTTATGTGAACACGCCAGAGAACTCAAATTACCTCACACACAATCCCTTTCTCAGTCCCCTTATGAGGCAGAAAGAGCCAGGGCGACAGACAGAATCAGTGCTTCCCACTCCAGGCCCTGATCATGCAATCTATGTCTGAGGCAGATCGACGGCTTCCAGCTCCTCTGCCCCCACAGTTCACAATGTTTAATCATGGGTCACCACCGAACCCACCAGCAGATCTGTTAGCTGTTATGTGACCAAAGGATACACATGTAAGCCCATCTTCATGTCTAAGCCTTGGGAATAAAAAAACAGGTAAATCCATAAAAACAGGGAAATAAAGCCATTTAAAAAGCCAGTAGAAGGACAGACAGAATGGCTTACACCTGTAATCCCAGCACTTTGGGAGGTGGAGGCGGATGGATCACTTGAGGCCAGGTGTTCAAGACCAGCCTGGCCAACACAATGAAACACTGTCTCTACTACAAATACAAAAACTAGCTGGGCATAGTGGTGCATGCCTGTAATTCCAGCTACTTGGGTGGCTGAGGCTTACAAATTGCTTGAACCTGAGAGGCAGATCCAAAATCACACCACTGTACTCTAGCCTGGGTGACAGAGCCAGACTCTATCTCAAAAAAAAAAAAAATCTAGTAGATGTGGGAGACAGAGGCAGGCAGATCGCTTGAGCTCAGGAGTTCGAGAACAGCCTAGCCAACAAGGCGAAACCCCATCTCTACAAAAAATACAAAAATTAGTGAAGTGCGGTGGTGTGCACATATAGTCCCAGCTACTTGGGAGGCTGAGGTGGGAGGATCGCTTGAGCCCAGGAGTTCAAGGCTGCAGTGAGCTGTAACTGTACCACTGCACTCCAGCCTGGGGCACAGAGTAAGACTTTGTTTCAAAAAATAAAAATAAACTGAAAAAAAGAAAAAAAAATCTATCAGAAAAGCTTTTGCCTCCTTCTATAATTACAAAAGCTGTTTTGAATAGACTCTGTCACAGCTTCCTTCCTTTTGTATGAATAATTGAAGACTGGCCAAGAATTGAGTTCCTTGCCACAAAGTTCATACGGATAAAAGAATTATATGACCAGGTGTAGTGGCTCCAGCCTGTAATCACAGCACTTTGGGAGGCCAAGGCCGGTGGATCACTTGAGGTCAGGAGTTCAAGACCAGCCTGACCAACATGGTTAAACCCCGTCTCTACTAAAAATACAAAATTTGCCAGGCGTGTAATCCCAGCTACTCGGGAGGCTGAGGCAGGACAATGACTTGAACCCAGGAGGTGGAAGTTGCAGTGAGCCAAGATCGCACCACTGCACTCCAGCCTGGGCAATGAGCAAAAATCCGTCTCAAAAATAAATAAATAAATAAATGAAAATTTAAAAAAGGAACTATATTACCATCTATGGCAAACTTGAGATTCCAGTGCTCTCACAGAAAAATGTGATCCAGAATGTGATTAACTAAATTAACAACACACTTTTCATTAATGATGAACAATCACACAATGTTACTTACCTTATTTTCAGCCTAATTTTGTTCACGACTTCGTCTATGTTCGCCAGAGACTACAATAAAGAAGAAAGAGTGCCCAGCTGTTAGTCCACTTCCTGGAATTCCTCTTTCCCAGGGAAATGATGTGCTCTAACAGCTACTTATGAAAGCTCAAAAACTTTAATCACGTGGTATGAGCTTTGCTTTAAAAAAGTAAAGCAGTAGTTGGAAGGTACTGGCAAATCTAGCCCAGCCCGTTTTTTGTCAATAAAGTTTTATTGGAACACAGCCGCGCCCATTCACGTGCGTCCTGCCTCCGGCTGCTCTTGAGCGACAGTGGCGTTAGGCAGCTGTGAAAGACACTGTAGAGCTGCAAAGCCTAGAATATTCACTACCTGGACCTTTGTAGAAAAGTTTGCTGACCCGGGTTATATGTGATTGTGACAAATTCATGTAACAAAATACAGCAACGAAAATGAATGAACACACACCACCATGGATAAACATTACTAACGGAACGGGGCACAAGAAAAGCCGGACGCAAGAGGACATAGGATACGATTTCACTAACACAATTCTCCTGTGTTAGAAGCGAGGACTGTGGTTATCTCTGGGGGAAGGTAGTGACAGTGAAGACGCAAGGAAAGGCCTTCTGAAGTTTTTTTAAATGGTTTATTTCTTGATATGGGTGGCGGTGACATGGCTATGTTTATTTTGTGAAAATTCATCAAGTTGTACCCTTAAGATTTGTGTACTCCTCTGTATTAGTTATACTTTAATAAATACACAAATTTGTTTTTTAGTATATAGATTCATTAGAAAAAAGTCTGGAAGGATAAATAGGAGTAGTTGTAATCTATTAGTAGTTGCAGCATTAGTAGCTATAATCTATCAACTATGTATTACAATATGAAAAGGAGGGATTTCAAATTTTGCTTCTTGGGCTGGGTGCAGTGGCTCATGCCTCTAATCCCAGCACTTTGGGAGGCTGAGGTGGGCAGATCACCTGAGGTCAGGAGTTTGAGACCAGCCTGACCATCATGGCGAAACCCCATCTCTACTGAAAATACAAAAAAAAAAAAAATTAGCCAGGCGTGGTGGAGGGCACCTGTCATCCCAACTACTCAAGAGGCTGAAGCAGGAGAATCACTTGAACCCAGGAGGCGGAGGCTGCAATGAGCTGAGATCAGGCCGTTGCACTCCCGCCTGGGCAACAAGAGCAAAACTCCTTCTCAAAAAAAAAAAAGTCTTCTTTTTGTCTGTATTTTATAATTATTGACTATGCACTAGTACTGTGACTATAATAAAGCTTATTATAATGACAAAACAAAGGGATCACTTCTGACCTTAGAGATGAGAAAATGTGAGGAAATGGTGCCCCCTAATGGACGAGATGAGGTACAATTTTACAGTACTATTTTAATTCTAGTTTTCAAAATACAATTTAACAAATCTTCTTTCTCTCTCCCTTAACAAATATTTTATCTCAGAAGGAATTAGGGATATTGCAGGAAATATGCTTATAAATCACTTCTGGCTACTTCTGAGGGGAGGAGGCAGCTAGGTGCCTTCCAGGAGCAGGTCTGGTAAGAGAAACGGGCCCTGAGTGTTTGAGATGTCAGACTGGGTCATCACAGCTCATCTTACTGTGCTGACTAAGCCAACAGTTACTCAGAATTTTCAGAAATCCAAGACCAGCTTGAGGTAAAAATGAATCTCAGGCTGGGCGTGATGGCTCATGCCTGTAATCCCAGCATTTTGGGAGGCTAAGGTGGGAGGATCACTCAAACCCAGGAATTCAAGACCAGCCCAGACAGACCCCATCTCTCCAAAAAATAAAAAAGTTAGCCAGGCGTGGTGGCGGGTGCCTGTAGTCCCAGGTACTCAGGAGGCTGAGGTGGGAGGATCACTTGAGCCCAGAAGGTCGAGGCTGCAGTGAGCCATGTTTGCACCACTGCACTCCAGCCTGGGTTAAACAGCCCTGTCTCAAAAACAAAAACAAAAAAAAAGAATCTTAAACAAGAGAAATTAATTTATATATAATTAATATATACCTATAGTTTTGTGTGTGATGGAGACTAGCTGTCACAAGGCTGGAGAGCAACGGCACGATCTCAGCTCACTGCCAGACTCCCTGGTTCACGCCATTCTCCTGCCTCAGCCTCCCGAGTAGCTGGGATTACAGGCACGTCCCACCAGGCCCAGTTAATTTTTGTATTTTTAGTAGAGATGGGGTTTCACCATGTTAGCCAGGATGGTCTCGATCTCCTGACCTCGTGATCTGCCCGCCTTGGCCTCCCAAAGTGCTGGGATTACAGGCATGAGCCACTGTGCCTAGCCAAGAGGAAAATATTTCTAATATCATTTTATGATATCAAGTATTTTTATAATATCAAATAGCCCACCTTTAAGATGGCAGCTCCCTCTGTCACCTAGGCTGGACTGCCGTGGTGCTTACTGTAACCTCAAACTCCTGGGCTCAAGCAATCCTCCCACCCCAGCCTCCTGAGTGGCTGGGAACACAGGTATGTGCACGAAGCCTGGCTAATTTTCCTATTTTGTTATAGACACAGGGTCTTGCTATGTTGCCCAAGCTGATCTTGAATTCCTGGCTTCAAGCAACGCTCCCGCTTTGGCCTCCCAAAGCCCTGGGATTACAGGAATGAGGCAGCGCACCTGGCCCTATAATATCATTTTTATAATATAATGAATGTAACTATTAAAAAGAACAGAGGCCGGGTGTGGAGGCTTATGTCTGTCCTTTGGGAGGCTGAGGTGGGTGGACTGCTTGAGCCCAACAGTTAGAGACCAAACTGGACAACACGGTGAAACTCCGTCTCCACAAAAAATAGAAAAATTAGCCAGTGTGGTGGCACACGCCTGTAGTACAAGCTACTTATGAGGCTGAGGAGAGAAGACTGATTGAGCCTGGGAGTTGCAGGGCACAGTGAGCTGTGATGGAGCCACTGCACTGCAGCCTGGAAGATGAGTGAGAATCTCAAAAAGAAAAAATAAATAAAAATAAAAATAGGCCAGGCGTGGTGGCTCACGCCTGTAATCCCAGCACTTTGCAAAGCCGAGTTGGGCAGATCATAAGGTCAGGAGTTCGAGACCAGCCAGGTCAACATGGTGAAACACCGTCTCTACTAAAAATACAAAAAAAAATTAGCCGGGCGTGGTGGCAGTTGCCTGTAATCCCAGCTACTCGGGAGGTTGAGGCAGAAGAATTGCTTGAACCTGGGAGGCAGAGGTTGCGGTGAGCCGAGATCACACCACTACACTCCAGCCCAGGCAAGTGAGAGACTCCGTCTCAATAAATAAATAAATAAATAAATAAATAAATAAATAAATAAATAAGAAGAGAAAGAAATATCCTAAAGTTATAATATTTGATTATTAGGTGGCCCTTGGGTGACTGTTTTTCCTTCATTTCCAGGCTTTCTGTTGCGGGGGCAAAAGTGAAAGGCTGCCAGCATTTAGTGTGGGTCTCTTAGGCAACAACTGTAGGCACTTCACAGGAATGATTTCCCTCAATCCCCTCTGCCATGCCAGGCACACTTTTCTCCTCTTCAATGTTAAGACTGGGAAATACGAAGCCCCGCGCGGTGGCTCACGCCTGTAATCCCAACACTTTGGGAGGCCGAGGTGGGTGGGTTGCCTAAGCTCAGGAGTTCAAGACCAGCCTGGGCAACCTGGCAAAACCCTGTCTCTACCAAAAATACAAAAAATTACCTGAGCATGCTGGTGCACACCTGTGGTCCCAGCTACTCAGGAGGCTGAGGTGGGAGGATGGCTTGAGCCCGGGAGGCAGAGGTTGCAGTGAGCCGAGATCACACCACTACATTCCAACCTGGGTGACAGAGGGGGAACCCACCTCAAATAAACAGACACATCACAAATGTGCTCTGAAAGGACAGGTGCTTTGCCTGAGGCTGCAGAGATCCTCTTTCTTACCCTATAATCTACCTCTAACGCAATGGTTCTTGACCTAATTTTCCTGCGCCCCAAGACACCCGACAGCTATGACACACCCACTCCCATCAGTTCAGTGTCTGGCTATGACAGCGATCCTCACCAGGGCTGAGGGCCTCTCCTGGAGTTGCGGAAAAGCCCTGTGGGAACGCACATTGGCTGGGCAGAGGGGTTTATCTTAGCTTTGAGAATCACACATCTCGTTTAGTTATAATGTGGCTGTACAGTTTTAATTGTTTAATTTTCAAATGTTTTAGTTATTGAAAAATATTTCCTGATTCTAAAGGTAATTCTTGACAATTAGATAAAATAAGTCATCTGCACACCACAGTATGACCACAATCAGAATTTTTGCATATTGCCTTCTACTATGAAACTATCTAGCTATACAAAAATAAACTGGGATAAGCAATTTGGCATCTTTTTTATTATCTTCATTTTTTTAAAGGCATGATCTCATTCTGTCGCCCAGGCTGGAGTGCAGTGGCACGATCTCAGCTGACTGCAACTTCCACCTCCAAGGCTCAAGCGATCTTCCTGCCTCAGCGATCCACCCGCCTTGGCCGCCCAAAGTGCTGGGATTGGAGAATAGAGCCGTGAGCCGGACCTTGGGTTTTTTCTCTTAACAACACAGATCCAGAGCATTTCTGGGGTCACCAAAAACTCTTTAGAAACCTCCCCATTTCACTCTTTTCTCAAACTTCCTAAGTATGTTAGCTTTATATTAGTTTTTCATAAATTTCATTTAGTTTCCTCTAATCAAACTTCCAAATGATGATTTTCAGTTTAATTAATTAATCAGGAGATTTAAAAGGTTTTCTCGACCACTGTCACCAAACTTGGCTACTATTTAAAGCCCCACAGGCACTCTGCTGCATGGAAAATCCAGGCTCCTCTCAGACCTGGCCCAGTGAAACAGAAAAAGGCATCCATTCCACGCCACTCGACAGGCTCCAGACAGCCACAGACACACAAATACATCCACTCCTCGACAGGCTCCAGACAGCCACAGACACACAAATACATCCACTCCTCGACAGGCTCCAGACAGCCACACACACACAAGTACGTCCACTCGACAGGCTCCAGACAGCCACACACACACAAGTACGTCCACTCCTCGACAGGCTCCAGACAGCCACAGACACACAAATACATCCACTCCTCGACAGGTTCCAGACAACCACACACACACAAGTACATCCACTCCTCGACAGGCTCCAGACAGCCACACACACACAAGTACGTCCGCTCCTCGACAGGCTCCAGACAGCCACACACACACAAGTACGTCCGCTCCTCGACAGGCTCCAGACAGCCAGACACACAAGTACGTCCGCTCCTCGACAGGCTCCAGACAGCCACACACACACAAGTACGTCTGCTCCTCGACAGTCTTCAGACAGCCACACACACACAAGTACGTCCACTCAACAGCAATGTATTCTCACCCGCCTCCTCACAGTAACACTAAATTCACTCTTGATACACTGAACTCTACTTTAAACCATGGACACTCATAATTTACAAGTGTTTACTGTAGGTCCATGAGGTATACAGACGGTTTTTGCCCAAGATCTAACACTAGTTAAATTATAAGCTATTCCACTACTTTCTACTACCTTTTCATTCAGATCCACAGGAATCTGGCTTGGTAGATGACCTGCTAAGTGAAACTCTGAGACTACAGAAGTAAAGACAACCCTATTTCACAAATTTCCTGAGTTACTCTAAGAGACGTGACTACACATTAGCATATACACGGGGCACACGTAGACAAGACAGGGAACTGAATCTGCGGAATGACAAATATCTTGAGTTTTCAGTAGTTTTAAAAAAATACAGCATATACACAAACACCACAAGAGGTGAGAACCTGATGGTTTCCTACATAATTTTCAAATCTAACACATCTTTTTGTTTTGGTGAATCAGCAACTACTATCTTTATCGTAGCTATTCCCAAATGTCTATCTCCAGCTAATTCCTAAAATTCCCCTTTCATACAAAATGATGAGCTATAAAGGCTTTTTGTGAAATCTCAAAAAAGACAATCACACAGTATATCGTCTTTTAAAATTTATTTTAAAAATCAGTATGTCCATTAAAAAAAGTTTGGAAGGATCTGCCAAGATGGTCACAATAACGGGGATCATGAGCTCCACACGCAAATACCCAAGTACTTATTTCCACCCGGATGACCTGAGTATGCTCAAACTCAGGCTCACCCTTACACCCCACTCCAGCCCTACTTGCCACTGAAACCTGCTCTTTCTCCTTACACCCAGTAACTGGGTAAAGCGTAAAGCTGCCAATGCCCACCCAGTCAGCCAAATCTGGCTACCTAGAAACCAAAGTTCCAAATCCTTAACTTACGGTCATGCACAGTGGCTCAAATCTGTAATCCTAGCACTCTGAGAGGATGAGGCAGGAGGGTGGCTTGAGGCCAGGAGTTCAAGACCAGTCTGGGCAACACAGCAAAGCCCAGTCTATTAAAAAAAATTAAAAATCAGCTGGGGCTGGGCGTGGTGGCTCATGCCTGTAATCCCAACACTTTGGGAGGCCGGGGTGGATGGATCATGAGGTCAGGAGATCAAGACTGTCCTGGCCAACATGGTGAAACCCCATCTCTATTAAAAATACAGAAATTAGCTGGGTGTGGTGGTGCGTGCCCGTAATCCTAGTTACTCAGGAGGCTGAGGCAGGAGAATCACTTGAACCCAGGAGGCAGAGGTTGCAGTGAGCCAAGATCATGCCATTGCACTCCAGCCTGGGGGACAATAACGAGACTTTGTCTCAAAAAAAAAAAAGAAAAGAAAAGAAAATCAGTTGTGTGAAAAATATTTGGGCCAGGTGCAGTGGCTCACGCCTGTAATCCCAGCACTTTGGGAGGCCGAGGTGGGAGGATCACATTAGCTCAGGAGTTCAAGACCAGCCTGGGCTTCATAGTGAGATCTTGTTTCTACTAAACAATTTTTAAAATTAGCTGTGTGTGGTGGCATGCACCTGTAGTACCAGCTACTCAGAAGGCCAATGTGTGGGGAGCGCTAGAGCTCGGGAGTTCAAGGCTGCTATGACTGTGCCACTGCACTCCAGCCTGGGCAATAGAGTAACACTCTGTTTTAAAAGAAAGGAAGAAAGAAAAAAAGCATTTCACTGAGAGGCATGTGGTCTCCAAAAAACTGGCGACCATAAGCCTAGAACACAGATCTCCCAGGATCCTTGCTCTCCCTCCTCAGCCTCATCTGTGAGTCTCTATTCACGGTGCACATCCTGTGTCTCCTGTTTCTGCGCCTTGGTCCTACGTTTAGAAGGGCCTTCTGTAGCGTCCAGCCCTACGGGGTCTTGTGGGTTTTCTCTTTGTGTGTGGAGACAAGAGATTATAGAAAGACAGACACGGAACTAAGCAGTAGTAGGAAAGACAGCTGGGCCCAGGGGACCACCACCACCAGTGCGCGGAGCCCAATAGTGGCCTCGAATGCCTGGACGCACTGCTATGGATTGCATACAAGGCAAGGGGGCAGGGAAAGGAGTGTGAGTCATCTCAAATGATGGATAAGGTCAAGCAAGTCACATGTCCACGTGACAGGGGGCCCTTCCCTTTGTGGTAGCTGAAGCAGAGAGGGAGGACAGCATATGTCAGCATTTTTCTATGCACTCATCAGAAAGATCAAAGACTTTAATGCTTTCACTAATTCTGCTACTGCTATCTTCTAAGAACTTAAAAGGAGGAGCCAGGTGTACAGACGGAACAGGAAAGTGGACCAGGAGCGTGACCACTGAAGCACAGCACCACAGGGGGACATTTAAGCCTCCGGATGACTGCGGGCAGGCCAACTGGTGGAGCAGAGTGTTCTCTAATTTCCCCAGGGAAAGGGAGACTCCCTTTCACAGTCCGCTAAGTAACAGGTGCCTTCCCAGGCACTGGCGCTACCGCTAGACCAAGGTGCCTTCAAACGGCCCTTATCCAGGCGTGACAGAGGGCTCTCTCTCTTGTCTTCTGGTCACTTCTTACGATGTTCCTTCAGCTCCTAACTCTGTATGGCCTGGTTTTTCCTTGGTTATAATAATGAAACAAAGATTAATACTAAAGACTAATGATTGATAATATCCATATATAATCATCTCTATATCCTATTTCTATTATAACTTTTCTTATTCTAACTATTTCCTTTATCATACTGGAAGAGGTTGTGCCTTCAGTTTCTTCCCTCGGCACCTGTGTTGCTTTCCACCCATACCTTCCTTCCCTCATCACCCTGGAAGAGACACCTGGCTGCTGGCTCTGTCTAGAATACTGTCCGGCCAGACTGCTGCAAGCTTGACTCCTCCTTGTCCCTCAGGTCTCAGTTTAGAAGGAACCACCTCATAGAGAGCTTCCCATTAAGCTCCTTTATCTAAAGGATCTCCCGCCCATGCATCACGCTCTGTCAGGGAACCTGCTTGGGATCACAGCCACCATGTTTGATCATCTACAGTGTATCTGTTGATTTATTTCTTGTCTTCCTCCCTACACTAGACTCCATGAGACCAAGACCAGATCTGTCATGTTTACATTTCTCCCTGGTTTCTAAAAATAGTACCTGACACTTAGTAGACATTTAATAAACGACGGCTACGTTTTACTGAATGAATACATGAATGAATCTCTCAAGCTCGGCAGACAGGCTACCTCCTCTCTGAAGTTGTAATTTTCCTTGGAAGAACTGGTCTTTGTTTCCTTACCGCACCGTCCCATCGTCACTTACGGCATTCACCAGGGTCTCCCACCACTTGACCCTGCACACCTCAAGGGCATGGACTGGATCTTATTCATCTCTGTACCCCCAGCACCTGGGATAGTGACTGACAACACATGACAGGCACCTACTGAACAAATGCTGACTGAAGAAATGAAAACTAAGCGGGACTCTTGCTGCCCTTCTCCCAACTCTGCTGCTTCCAGTTCTGGTCTACTCCTCACCCAAACACCCAAAAAACAATTTGGAAAGAAAATCCATCTCTATAGGCAAATCACCGGACAAAAAATAATAAAACATAAAGCCTAAAAATTTGTCTCTTGAGGCCGGGCACAGTGGCTCACACCTGTAATCCTAGCACTTTGGGAGGCTGAGGCAGGTAGATCACGAGGTCAGGAGTTTGAGACCAGCCTGGCCAATATGGTGAAACCCCATCTCTACTAAAAACATAAAAATTAGCCGGGCGTGGTGGTGAGTGCCTATAGTCCCAGCTGCTCACAAGGCTGAGGCATAAGAATCGCTTGAACCTGGGAGGCAGAGACTGCAGTGAGCCGAGACCATGCCATTGCACTCCAGCCTGAGTGACAAGAGCAAAACTCCATCTCAAAAAAACTAATAAACAAAAATAAAAATTTACATCTTGAAATAGAGGTGAAAGTGGCTTCATGATTCTGGGCTTCTCCTGCCTGCCTCACCCCCACCTTTCCCTACTACATTATAAAAATCCCTTCCACTTTCCATTACAGCAGAAAATCTGGGAGGACTCTCACAACCTACGGGCACAATTATTATTAATATGTTCACTATACAACGAATTCCATTCCAACACAGTGTGGCTCACTGCCCCAGGTGGTGACGATGGAGTTTGATTTGAATTTCACTCTCCCTTGTTTATCAAGGGCCGGCAGATGATCTAGTGTAGCACGCAAAGCATGACACCCAGGATGCGCCAGAAGCCGCTGAAAGGAAGGAAACCTGAAACTCTACTTACTTGCTCTGTTGGGAACAGGGTGTTGATATATTCGACAGCATTGAAATCTGCTCGATCTAGAGGGTCCTGGCTTGGAAACACCTATATAGAAAGAGAGGATTATATATAAAAACAGCTGGTACACCGTAAATATATATATATATAATTTTAATTTGTCAATTAAAAGGAAAATAAAGGGCCAGGCATAGTGACTCAAACCCGTAATCACAGCACTTTGGGAGGCCAAGGCGGGTGGATCACCTGAGGTCAGTCTCTACTAAAAATACAAAAATCAGCTGGGTGTCGTGGTGCACACCTGTAATCCCAGCTACTCAGGAGGCTGAGGCAGGAGAATCACTTGAACCCAGGAGGTGGAGGTTGCATGAGCCAAGATCACACCACTACACTCCAGTCTGGGCGACAGAGCAAGACTCTATCTCAAAATAAAATTAAATAAATAAATAGATAAATAAATAAATATATAAAAATAAGGCTGGGTGGATCGCTTGAGCTCAGGAGTTGGAGACTGGCCCGGGCAACATGGCGAAACCACATCTCTACAAAAAAAATTAGCTGGGTGCCACGGCACATGCCTGTCGTAGTCCCAGCTACCTGGGAGGCTGGGGTGGGAGGATCACCGGAGCCCAGGAGGTTAAGTTGCAGTGAGCCGAGACTGTACCACTGAACTTCAACCTGGGTGACAGGGTGAGATCCTGTCTCAAAAACAGTCCACCTCTGAGAAATATAGCTAACTCCCTAACAACCCGAAGAACATGCAACAAGGAGGATGACACAAGCAGCCAAATTATCTGCTGGACACTGGGTCTCACCAGCTTGATAGAGTTATAACTGTGGGAAGCAACTACATCTCTGAAGAAGCCTTCCAAAGAAATACAGAGCCAAAGAATCCAAATGTCTTCTAAGACAACTGTTAGAAAAGTTGAAGCCTTCTACCACATCAAGGGGAGGTAGATGAGAAGCAACACCCTGTCTCAAACACACACACACACACACGTATACACATACACACACACCTCTATAAATGGGACAATACATTACTTAGTACAGTGGCAGGCCCACGGTAAGTATTAAGAGTCAACATATGTCAACTACTGGTACAGTGGAAATCACGCTTAACTTAGACACGAACCCGGGAAGCGGAGCTTGCAAGGAGCCGAGACTGCGCCACTGCACTCCAGCCTGGGCGACCCAGCGAGACTCCGTCTCAAAAAAAAAAAAGAAAAGAAAAGGGCTTCTCAGGGGCCATTAAATAAGACATGATGGAATTGTCCATTTCCTCAATCATAAATCCCTTTCTTAAATCATAAAACTTCATGACAATTCCTTTAAGGGAGACTTTCTCCCTTTATCAGGAGCAATACCCTGCAGTATTAGAAATCATTATTTCTGACGGGGCGCAGTGGCTCACACCTGTAATCCCAGCACTTTGGGAGGCCGAGGCGGGCAGATCGCCTGAGGTCAGGAGTCCGAGACCAGCTTGGCCAACATGGTGAAACCTCATCTCTACTAAAAATACAAACATGAGCCGGGCGTGGTGGCGGGCTCCTGTAATCCCAGCTACTCGGGAGGCTGAGGCAGGAGAACCGCTTGAACCCGGGAGGTGGAGGTTGCAGTGAGCCGAGATGGCACCCCCGCACTCCAGCCTGGGCGACAGAGCGAGACTCTGTCTCAAAAAAATAACATAACATAACATAACATAAAATAAAATAATCCCTATTTCTAATATCATTAGCCTTAAAATTTCAATAAACTTGCAAAGGGAAGAGTTCCTGCAGGCAGGGCCGCGCGTGGTGGCTCACATCTGTAATCCCAGCACTTTGGGAGGCCGAGGCGGGCAGGTCACTTGAGCTGAGGAGTTCGAGACCATCCTGGCCAACACGGTGAAACTCCCGTCTTTACCAAAAATACAAAAATTAGCCAGGCGCGGTGGCGGGCGCCTGTAATCCCAGCTACTCGGGAGGCTGAGACAGGAGAATCGCTTGAACCCAGGAGGCGGAGGTTGCAGTGAGCCGAGATCGCGCCATTGCATCCCAGCCTGGGCGACACAGCGAGACTCCATCTCAGAAAAAAAAAAAAAAAAAGGTCCTGCAGGGAAAAGAGACTCTGGGAGTATTCTCCGACCTCAGCCAAACGATTCAACGGTAGGAATTGTCAACCTTTTAAGAATGGTAACGATGTCATTTTTCAACCCTTTCTCTCTGCTCTGCCATCCGCGTCAGAAATTAAAGTCATGCCCTCCCCCCAGTTCCAAGCCACTCGCGAGGGGCCAGCTTGCGAAACCGCGGCGTTGGCACGAGCCTGGTAAATGAATGAAGCCCCCACAGTCCCCAGAAACTGAAGATGCCACCCAAGGCCCGCATTCTCCTAGCGCCGTCCTCTCTCGGCGCACAATTCCTTTTCCCCAAAACCACCAGGACCCCCCGCCCTCGCCAAAGACAATCGAAGCCTAGAAAGGGTTCCCCTTCCTTTCCTTCTGATTCAGACACCGCTTCTCACCCGGGCCACCTCCCCACTTCATTTCCCTGCTGCCCCGGGCCCCGACCCTCCGTCCACCCGCCGCGGCCTCCCCAGCGCCCGCGCTCGCGTCTCCCCTCCCGAGGGGCGGAACGCTCACCTGCTCGATGGCCAGCTGCACCTCGGGCGTGAGCTGCAGCACGGCTTCCAGCTCCTCCACGAACTCCAGTTCCTCCTCCTCCATCATTCCGCCACCCGGCCCCCTGCCGACCCCCGCCGCGAGCCCCACTCAAGCCTCCAGCCGCCCCCCAGGCCCCAGCACGGCAACCCTCTCGCGGCAGCCACCTGGCGAGCCCGGCTCCGTCAGCCGCTCTGTCAGCCGCTGCGGCACTTCCGGGAGGCCAGGGCACTTCCGGGACCGGGGAACTGTGGGATCGCGGCGGACCGAGAGGGGCTGCGTTCCTGTCAGGTCCCGGGTCTCCCCGGCAACGCTTTGCCCCGGCGGCCGCGCGTGCCCTCAGCGCGTCCTCAGGATGGCGCGGCCTCTTCGCTCCCCAAGGCGCGCCCCCCGCGAGGACCGCGAGGTTGGGGCAGGGCGGGGCCCCCAGCAGCACGCCCGGGTGAAAGTCGGCCCGGCGGCGTCGCGACCCACAGCCCACAGCCTCCGCAGGCAGCGCCGCGGCGACCCCTCAGCTCCCGGGGCCCCTCGGTCAGTGGCAGCGGGTGTCCCGGCCGTGGGGACGACGTGATCCCAGCTGGCACGTGGCGGTGTCGCCAGGGACCTTCGTAGGACGGGACAGCGTCCACTCGATAGAGAGGAATTCCCCGTGCGGCGGGCTCTGCGCAGTATGGGGAGAAACGCTTTTTGGTCGTTGTTTTTCTTTTCTTTTCTTTTCTTTTTTTTTTGAGACGGTATCTGGTGTCTCACTGTCGCCCAGGCTGGAGTACAATGGCGCGATCTCGGCTCACCGCAACCTCCGCCTCCCGGGTTCAAGCGATTCTCCTGCCCCAGCCTCCTGAGTAGCTGGGATTACAGGCGCCCGCCGCCTCGCCCGGCTCATTTATGTATTTTTAGTAGAGAGGAGGTTTCACCATGTTGCTCCTGACCTCGTGATCCGCCCGCCTCAGCCTCCCAAAGTGCTGGGATTACAGGCGTGAGCCACCGCGCCCGGCCAGAAACGTCTTTTTTAAAGCCAGATGACGCAGCGTCCTGGAGCTGGGGAGACGTTTACTGAGGTTGACTATCAGGGGTCTAAGTCCTGAATATTCCACCACTGATAAGCTGTGTGATCTGGAACAAATTACTACCCCGCATGGATGTGGAGAGGATTAAATATTAACAGCGCGATGCAAATTCAAGCTGGTAATACAGGAAATAGTGAGGTGCCCAGCCCTTACCCCCACAAAGGAACAAAGAAGCCAGATCACCCATCGCCCTGTGGAACCACCTTTCCTGCAGACGCTGAAAACAACCAGGGAATTGCAGGCCAAGAAGACTCGCTCCACCAGGTGAACCGGAAAACTCCAGGAGGGAAACGCGTTGGCGCCACTGAACTTTTTTTGTTGTTGTTATCAGAGTTGCTCAAAGTAAAAAATTGGAGCAGTATGGTTTTTTCTTTTATTTTTAATTGACAATAATTATATAAACAATGTAATTTCTAACACCAGAGGAATGCTAAAAAACATACATTAAAAAAAAGAAAAAAAAGAGAAAATAAAATATAAATTGAACCTGGTGCAGTGGCACAGGCCTGCAGCCCCAGCTGCTCCGGAGGCTGAGGCAGGGAATTACTGACTTTCTGAGACTGAATATCAGGGGTTTAGATCTCATTCCACCACTGAGGATTGCATGACCCCAGAGTTCGAGGCTGCGGTGAGCTATGCTTGCTTTGCATCACTGCACTCCAGCCTGGGCCACAGAGTGAGACTCTGTCTCTTAAGTAAACATAAAATATTGATTCATAAAATCATGATTTTGAAAATTAATGACATGAAAAATGTGCACAATATATTTCAGAAAGCAAAATGTATAATTTCATTTAAAAAATGCACAGCATGGTCCCAGCTTTGTGTGTATTCTGTACCAATAAAACTGACAGCAAGGAAATACTTTTCTGCACGTGATGAATGTACATCCCTTGTACATTTTCCCAAATGTCTACAGTGAGCCTGTAGTTCTTTCATGCTCAGAAAATATGAATGCCTTTTTCTAAAAGGAAAAGGTAATTATAGCTACTTATTTTGGACTTTTTTTTCCTTTAAAAAATTAAGATATTTACATACAGCAAAATTTGCTCTTGCAATTTATGATGCAATGAGTTTTGATAAATGTATATAAATGACTGGGTGTGGTGGTTCACGCCTATAATCCCAGCACTTGGGGAGGCCAAGGCTGCCGGATCACTTGAGGTCAGGGGTTTGAGACCAGCCTGGCCAACACGGTAAAACCCGTCTCTATCTACTAAAAATACAAAAATTAGCCTGCTCTGCTGGTGCACAGAATCACTTGAACCTGAGAGGCAGAGGTTGCAGTGAGCCAAGACTGCACCATTGCACTCCAGCCTGGGTGACAGAGCAAGATTCCATCTCAAAAAACAAAAACAAACAAAATAAATAAATAAATGCATAGAACCATGTTACTACCACAATCTAGTTATAGGACAATTTCATTATTCTCCCAAATTCCCTCTTGCCTCACCCCATCCACCGGCAACCACTGACTTGATTTCTGTCCCTATAGTTTTTTGTTTGTTTGTTTTTTGTTTTTTGAGATGGAGTCTTGCTCTATCACCCAGGCTGGAGTGCAGTGGTGCAATCTCAGCTTATTGCAACCTCTGCCTTCAAGCAATTCTCCTGCCTCAGCCTCCTGAGTAGCTGGGATTACAGGCGCCCACCACCACATCTGGCTACTTTTTGTATTTTTAGTAGAGATGGGGTTTCGCCATGTTGGGCAGTCTGGTCTCAAACTCCTGAGCTCAGGTGATCCGCCTGCCTCAGGCTCCCAAAGTGCTGGGGTTACAGGCATGAGCCACCATGCCCGGCCTATCCCTATAGTTTTGATATTTCCAGAATATCATCTAGATGGAATCATACAGTATGACACCTTTTCAGTCTGGCTCCTTTCATCTGTCATAAAGTATTTAAAACTCATCCGTGTTGCAGCATGGATCTGTAGCTCACGTCTTCTTGCTGAGTGGTATTCCACTGTATGAATGCACCACAATTTGTTTATCTAGTCCCTGGTTGAAGGACATATGGGTTTTTCCAGTTTTTGGCAATTATGAATAAAGCTGCTATAAACATTCATGTACAGATTTTTGTGTGAACATAAGTTTTCATGTCACTTGGGTAAATATGCAGACGTGGGACTGCCGTGTTATATGATATGTCTGTGTTTAACTTTCTAAGAAACTGGTAAACTGTTTTCCAAAGTGGCTGTATCACTTTCACAGTGCTACCAGCAATGTATGAGAGTTCCATTTGCGCACAGAACTGATTTTTAATGATGATAATAAGAAGGAACATTTCCTAGCCCTCATCATGTGACAGGCACCATGTGAAGCATACTACATGCATTGTCTCTTTCAATTCACACAGCAATTCTGAGGTTGTTAGTTTTTCTTACTATCACCATCTAACAGATAGGAGATGAAGATCTAGTTAAAATAAACAAACAACAAAATAAAAACTTGCCCAAGGCCTTATACCTAAATCTTCCTGCCATTCATTAACCTATTCAATACATTTATTGAACACCTGTTCCTGTTGGTGACAGGTACTCAAGCTAGATGCTGCGAATTCAGCAGTGAACAAAATAGACCACATGCCTGCCTCTACAGAGCTATTTCTATGTATGAAAAGGGGATTTGTACAAATAAACATATAATTGTGACAGATCCAATAAAAGAGAAGTAAAGCACATGTTGAGAGACTATATGGATAGAGTTCTGATTGGATTAGGGTCAGGAAAGCCTTTTCTTTCTTTCTTTCTTTTTTTTTTTTTGGAGACGGAGTTTCACTCTTGTCACTCTTGTCACCCAGGCTGGAGTGCAGTAGTGTGATTTCGGCTCAGCTAACCGCAACTCCGCCTCCAGGTTCAAGCGATTCTCCTGCCTCAGCCTCCTGAGTAGCTGGGATTACAGGCATGCACCACCACACCCAGCTAATTTTTGTATTTTTAGTAGAAACGGGGTTTCTCCATGTTGGCCAGGGTGGTCTTGGGCTCCTGACCTCAGGTGATCCACCCACCTTGGCCTCCCAAAGTGCTGAGATTAGGCATGAGCCACTGTGCCCGGCCAGGAAAGGCTTTTCTGAGGAAGTGATTTTTAAGCTGAAGCAAAGGGTGGAAAGTGAGGATAACACATGGTTAAAAGGAACAGAATGTGCAAAAGCCATGAGTATGAAAACAGTCGGCCAGGGTGATGGAAGTTTGAAAGCCAAGGGGAGAGTGATACACAAGGAAGCTGAAGAAATGGGCATTGCTAGATGGTGAAGGATCTGGAAGGTCTCTTGAAGAAACGGGAAGCCTCTGAAGGACTGTAAGCAGAGGAGTGGCATGACCAGGTTTACCGCGCCTGCCATCAGCCCTGGTCTCTCCGTTTTTTTTTCCCTTTGCCTCTGAGCTTCCACATTGTTGGGGAGAGTCATGAAACCACGTGACCACGTTCAGCACAAATTCCTGTTGTCTTATTTCCACTGATTCTGATTGTCCTTCTCAGCACCCATTGTCAATTCTCAATGGCATTCCCCCATGACCCAAAACCTTTCCCTCCTCTGGAACTCCCAACTCCATGATACCCCTTCTCCCTGTTTGCAGATAAGCTACTAACAGTATAAGTTCGAGTTTAAGAGAGTTATGCTGTACAAAAAAGTATAGGAAGTTAAAAGAGCAGAGAGATAGGTTGACACACTGAGTTTTTAAAAACTTTGTTAAGTAATAACAGACTAGATTTATTCATTTATGTTAAACAAAAGAAGAAAATACCTTTGACAGGAGGAGGAAATCTAGAAAGAGATTGTATGCTTCTGAGAGAAATAAAATGTGGAAGTTTATGGATATGAGAAATTTGGGTATGAAAATAAGGAGCATGTGATATTTTCACAAATGAGCTGGGCTTAAAAAAACAACTTCCAGGCCGGGTGCAGTGGCTCACTTCTGTAATCCCAGCACTTCGGGAGGCCGAGGCAGGCGAATCATCTGAGGTCAGGAGTTCAAGAGCAGCCTGACCAACATGGACAAAGCCTGTCTCTACTAAAAATACAAAATTAGTCTGGCATGGTGGCTCGCATCTGTAATCCCAGCTACTTGGGAGGCTGAGGCAGGAGAATCACTTGAACCCGGGAGGCAGAGGTTGCAGTGAGCCAAGATTGTGTCACTGCACTACAGCCTGGGCAACAAAGCAAGACTCCATCTCAATAAACA